GAGTGGAAACAGTGGAGTTTGGGGTATGTAAAGCATTGAAAAAATCAAAATGATGGCTTGGGCTTGAATCAAAATGGTTTTTATTTTGTTGTATAATAGAAGGGATTCTGGTTATGATACGTAAGTTACTGTAGGCCACAGATAAAGCGTCTATGCCTGCTTTAGTTTGGGTAGTATGTTAAGATAGCTCAGGCTGTTACCACAAAACACCAATGACTGGTGGCTTAAACGACAGAACTTTATTTTCTTATAATTCTAGAGGATAAATTCTAAGAGTACCAGGGTGGGTGGTTTCTGGTCATGGCTGTCTTCCAGCCTATAGATGTCTGCCTCCTCACTGTGCCCTCACATACTAGAGAGAAAGGGAGAAATAAAAAAAACTTACAAAGGCACCAATCCTATTGTGAGGATATCCACTTTTATGACGTCATCTAAACCTGTTTGTATCCTTAAGATTCCATCTCTAAATGCTATCACATCAGAAGTTATGTTGTCAATGGATGACTTTCAGATGACTATTAGAGCACTAGAGTTGAATTGGTTCTGTTTCATTTTGACTGAAATTTAAGAGAATTATACATTCTCTCAAAAGTAATTGTATTGTCATAATTTGTGTGTGTGAGAGAGAGGAAGAGAGAGAGAGAATTTGTATGTGCAAGTATGCCATAGCATGCATGTTGGGGGCAGAGGCAAGGCAACCTCAGGTGGCTGTCCTCACTTTGCACCTTGTTTGTGGTAGGGCTTTTGTAGTTTGCACCTGTGTACACCAGGCTAACGAGACTGTAAGTCTTCTGGGAGTTCTCTTGTCTCTAGCTCCCATTTCTCCCAGAACACTGATATGACAGATGTGAGCTATCATACTTGCTTTTCCTGTGGGCCCTGTGGATTTGAACTCATCCTTGACACTTGTGTGGTAAGCCCTTTACCCACTAAACCTCTCCTCAGCCCATAATTTCTTGGTTTTCTAGAGAAATGGTTCCCAAGATGAGATTTGTACAAACTCATTAAAGGGTATATAAGATGATCCAGTAGTGTATAGAAAAAGAATGCTGAATACTTATTTGGTATATATTCATACCTTTTAAATTACATACCTTTTAAAAAGTATTATTCCATTTTTCTTATTTTTTGTATGCCATAGTGAATGTGTGGAAGTCTGAAGGCAGTGGGACAATTTGAGTCCTAGAAATCAAACTCAGATATGCAGGCTTAGTGCTAGGTCACTTTACTGAGCTATCTTGCTAGCCCTATTTTGTATTAATTATTTTTATTTTATTATATTGTTGTGTGTATGGTTGTCTTTCCTGCCTATGCACCACATGCATGCCTGTTGCCTCTGGAGGCCAGAAGAGGGCATCCTGTTCCTTAGAACTAGAGTTACAGACTAATGTGAGGCTACCATGTGTGTGTTGGGGAATTGAACCGAGTCCTCTAAAAGAGGAGCCAGTGCTCTTAAACTTTTGAGCCATCTTCCCAGCCTCCTCCCCCACTTTGTGTTTTGAGATAGGGTTGTATTCTGTAGTTTTGGCTGGCTGTTACTCAGTGTCAACCCAGGTTCACCTCTAACTCTTGGCAGTCCTCTTGCCCCAGCCTCTCAAGTGCTGAAATTACCAGTGTGTGTCCATGTTTGTCGAATCTTACTAGTCTATACAATCTGATTGTGTGTGTATACATACATACATACATACATACATACATATCTGGGGTTAGATGCTCAAAATTTACACTGAAGTTCATTAATAAAATTTTGCTCACTGCTCCTTTTTGCATAGGTTTTAACCTAAAATTCTATTAATGTATAACATCTCTAGAATAGGTACAAGTTTACTATCCCTTACCTAAAATGTTTGCGACCAGAAGTATTTACATTTCAGTTTTCTAGATTGGTATTTGTGGCTGTTGCAGTACTGGGCATTGAGCCCAGGGCCTCATGCATTCTGTCCAAGCACTGTACTATTAATTTTTACTTCAAGCCTAGATTTGGGATTGTTTGCATATAAATAATAAGAACATCGAAAATGCTCTAAAATTTGAAACTAATTGAGGATCATGTTAATTTTCAGAAAATTTCATGATTTGGGTCATTTGGATACTTAAAGTAGGAACACTCAGCCTTCCAGTTTTCTTTTTTGAGGCCAGGGTCTCATGTAGCCCACACCGACTTTGAAGTTGTTATGTGTCTGAGGATAACCTTGAATTTATAGGCCTGCTTTCACCTCTTAAACACTGGGGTTACAGGCATGTGCTATCATGCCCTGCTTTCAGTCTCTTATTTTATAGATGAAGAAAGCAAAGTCCAGTGATGATCATGAGCTCCTCGGGGTACAGTATACTAACGGCTTCACTCATTGCTGGGTTCTTGAACTTGTACTTTTTAGTCTGGTTTGATTTTACTAAAATTTAATCTTTAGAAACTATCTGCTGTGGTTTGCATTAGCATTCACAGGGTTTTCTGTTTCTGAATTTGGTAATGAGGTTTGTCAACTTTACCTCAAAAAGAAGATTCCTTTTTGAAAGAACCTTAAGCCATTTTCTCTCCCAAAAGACTCCTGTAAACTCTGCATATAAGTTGAACATCATGGCTCCTATTTCCCTACTTCCCAGAGCAGGTCATAGAGGCTGGGCCTTTAAGAGCAGTATGACAAGTTCACACATTTCCAACCTCCTAGAAAGGATGCTCTCTAGTTATGAGAATGGTTGGGGGGAAGCTGCTGTTTCATCCTCTGGAAATGGATATAGTAGGGTGAGAACGTGATGTGGTAGACAGTTTAATTCTAGAAGTGGAAAAATAATCTCAACTGCTCCTAATTTACCCCGTGATACAGCAGTGTGCTTTATGACCAGTAATGGAATAAATTTCCTTATTTTCTAGAGCTTTTATAATAATCTCATTAATTTTAAAACTGTAAATTCAGAGATTTTTGAGATGCTAAAGAATATACATAGTCAGCCAGGTGAGGTGGTGCATACCTGTAATCCCAGCACTGTGGGAGGCGGAGGCAGGTGGATCTCTGTGAGTTTGAGGCTAGCCTAGTCTACAGAACAGTTTCAGGGCAGCCAAGGAACCCTGCCTCAAAAAACTAAGAAACAACAAAACAACAACTACTATATATATAGTAACTGTTGTATGTGGGAAATGTCTTACCAAAATACATGCACATGGAATGGGAGAGATGGCTAGGTCAAGAACACTTACTCTACTTGCACAGGACCTGGGTTCATTCCTCAGCACCCACATGGTGGCTCAGAAACCATAACTCCAGTTCCAGGGGTCCAAAACCATCTTCTCAGGCACCAGCCACATATGCGGTGCACATACATACATACATATAGGCAAAACTGATACATAAATCTTTGTTTAAAATTGCATGTACAGCAAAAGAAAAAGAAGCCAGTTGAAGTGGCTCACAGCTGTTAACCCAGCCCTAGGGAATCTGATGCAGAAGGGTCCTTGTGAGTTTGAGGCCAGCCTAAGGTACAGAGTGAGACTGTCTCAAACAAAATAAAGCTAAATAAATGGAAAGTGAGAGGAAGAAAGTAGTCTGCTCCAGAAATAGCTAGTGTTTGTGAAGGGTTGTCGACAGCTTGTGTCAGCCCTGTGTTTCATCACTGCTCCTCCAGGTGCTTTCTCTGATTCAGTCCTGTTTTTTTTTACACTGTTTCTGCTTCTCCACTGTGGCCTGCTGTAGGTAGTTTTTGGACAGCTGTCTCTGCAGAGAACAGTTTTTCTGAAGCAGCATAGGATTCTGTGAAGGGGAGAAATAGAGGGTGAGGGTGAGGATGGGCTTCTGTGATAATTGTTAGCGGAATGAAAGGGCTGTTGAAAGATTGGAGGATGGTGCCTGGGCACTTGGTCTTGGGTCATAATCATACTTTGTCTTTTACCACTGCCTTTTGTTCAAGACACTGAAAGGGCTAAACAAAACTCTGGCCTGAATAATATTATTCTTTGCTCTTTGGAATTTGCTGGAGGTGGCAGTAAAGCCCTGGAAAGGGTAGGAAAGTTAGTTAAAGGAGCATTAAAGAAATACAGTACATTCCCTAGTTCTACTTAGGGCTTTGCCACAGAGGTAAGTCTGGTGAAAATTAGTAGAATTAGCCGAAGTAATGCTTGCCACTGTGTGACACGAGCTAAGATTGTTCAGTGGGAATTCTCTTTTACACACCTTTGTATGGCCAGTCTGGCACTCACTGAGATATGCCTGGCTCTGTTTTCTAAGTCTAGGCTTGAGATTTTTTTTCTTAGTGGTAAGATATTCCTGGGTTCAAATTCCATCTTTGCTGATAATCTTTTTGAGACAGGGTTTCTCTGGGTAGCCCTCCCTGGCTGTTCTAGAACTTGCTCGCCAGACCAAGATGGCCTTGAACTCACAGAGATCTGCCTGCCTCTGCCTCCCAAATGCTGAGGTCAAAGGTGTGTGCTATACTGCCTAGCTCTGCTTGTAGCTTATGTGTCTTTGCTTATAATAGGCTTGACTCTATGCACCCGAGTGACCAAAGGTTAGTCTTCTTTTTAAGAGCTTAATTTCATCATCTATTTGTATGTGAAATGAGATTCAGAATCTTGACTTGTGTATTCGTTTTGTGAAAACAAATGTTTCACAGAGTTTGTGCAAACATGTCTGTACTTATAATGGGAGATTCTTGCTCAGAAGGCCGTGCTGAGTGGCCATCTGTGTTAATTTGAGGTTCTTAGCCAGCAGCATGTCATTACATATGCATCTGCTGTTTCAAGTTTTATTTCAGGTCCTTCATTCCCATCTGAAAAAAACACTAACTATTACTCAGTAAAGAAGGTAAAGAGATGTCAGTTGACCTCCTCCCAGCTATGTCTCTTTATGGAATTACATCCAGAGAAGCTGGGCCCAGCACTGAATAGCTATGTTAAATGTACACACAAAAAAGATCAATTCCTATGAAAGTGGTAAATCTCCTTGTTTATTTTATTGTTTTTCCCAGGTGCTTTTCTAATTATTACTATTTTTTCTTTCCAAATCCAGGCTGGCTACAGCAAATACCATTTTCAAGATGTCCAGCAAAGGGAGCAGCACAGATGGCAGAACAGATTTAGCTAATGGTAAGGCACTGAAAACAGGTGAAACTCTCCTAACTGTCAGCTGAGGTCTCCCCCCTTCCCTAAGGGAGAATGGAGACCTGAATTTTAGTGAGAGAAAGGAGCCTTGTGTGTGTTGTTTGAATATGAGAAAGTACACAGGAATCATCTTGGATTGTCTGCTACTTTTGCTACTTCAAATTTTATCTGTTTTCGGAAGATCAAAATAGGCATATTTCCTTTTTTAAAATATTTTTCAATGTGTATGATTATTGCGCCTGCATGTATGTCTGTGCACCACTTTTGTGCCTGATGCCCACAGAGGCTAGAAGAGGACATTAGATTCCTTGGAACTGGAGTTACAGACAGTTGTGAGCCACCATCTGGGTGCTGGTCACTGAACCTGGGCACTCTGAAAGAGCAGCCCATTCTTAACTGCTGGGCCATCTCTCTCTACCCCAGAGATATTTCTAAAAGGTCAAGTGGTTTAGATTTTTGAAAGCCTGTTTACAGATGGGCAGACTTACAAAATACTACCAAGAAGAAAACTAAGGTGGAGGGAGTTTGGGGGAATGAGATTCCTCTGTTGTATTTACCATTTGGGCTTATATAGAAAAAAAAATTACCATATTTTAAGCTAGAGTTTGGTCAGTGACTACTTGGCCCCTTCTTCAGGCTTGTGGTGTACTCTGTCTCTTAAAGTGCTACCACCTTCAAAGCCTGCATTTTTAATCACAACTTTTTAAATTTTATATTACATGTATTTAGTATTCATATGTACTTTAGTAGAATCAAGTTCTTCTGTCGGTTTTGAAGATCAAAATTTGTGTTGTCGGGCTTGGTGACAAGTGCCTTTACCTGCTGGACTATCTTGCTGGTCCTTGTTTATCATGATTGTAACAGTAAATTCCAGGAGTTTGGGGGTTTTACTTCTCTGTGCATCTAGGGCTCTGTTAGATGTCATGTGCAGGGGTCCAGTGCCAGGCATCTACCCCAGAACCTCGTACACACTAAACAGGTATTCCCCGTTGAGCTACACTCTCAGCACTGGGCGTGATGTTTTCATCCCTTCTTACCAACCCCAAGCTAAGTCCAGCTGCACAAACTCATCTATTATACTTTTTCAGCATATGTTATTCTCAGCAAATCTGCTTCTAAAGTTCAGATTTCTATGGGTTCCCCATTTTTCTTCTGTCTCCTAGCCCAGTTTTCATACGATTATGCTCTTTGGTGGGGTGCTTTTGTGTTGTTCAACCTTCTATTTTGTTACTTTAAAACAAATGCTTTGTTTTCTGTGTTGGGCTTTGTCTCAGAGTTCTTTGAAAAGCTTGTATTTCTTTAACAGTCTTGAAAAATCACTGCTCCAGTCCACACAACCAGACAGTGTAAGGTGTTCTAGCTTTGGACCATTAAAACATTAGAACTGGACCTAAGTAACTTATACTGGAGTCACACAATTTTTTACCTTTTTGTGATGAATTTTACTTGTAACAGGATAAAATTTTGCACTCAGAGACAATAGTAAGCAGTGTTAAAGTGTTTAAAAAGCCTCTTTTTCCTTTCTTTTTCCAAACCCTGACCGTAGGTTGGATGTTGTGATTGTATTAGGTGTGAGCAATTGCTTAAATGCTCATTGCAGTGATTTCTTTGCTAGACAAGAGCACAGCCTTTAATTGTAAGCACTGAAAGTCACCCAGTTATATAACTGCCAAGCTAGCAGGCCTAGAGCATATTGAGCCTCTCAAGAACCATATACAGTAGCCCTGCTTTTTATCAGCTTTATGTATGCTTCTTGATAGAACCATTTCATCTCTCAATAAAAAGACTGAAAACACATGTCAAAATTGGATGAAAATTTTTAACTAGGGTTGGGCATGTGGCTTCAGTGGTAGAGCTCTTGGAAAGCAAGTACAAGCTGTTAAGTTTAATCCCTGACATGGAAGAAAAGAAAAAATATATATTATTTACTAAACTAGATTTAGTGATTTGTGCCTATAATCCTAACAGTTGAGAAGCTGAGACAGGAGAATCTTCATGAGTTTGAGTCCACTGTGGTTACATAATGAGACCCTATCTAACAAGCTTACTAATGAAAGTAGGTTAAAGTACATTTGCTAGAAAGGGTTGAGAACCTGTGTAAGTGATCATAATGGCCACTTTAAAATTCTTCAACTCCCCCTTTTCTAGGTTTTCAGAACCTAGATTAACTAGCAGGATAACTCAGGATGAGGCTGTTTGCCACCTGGTTGATGACTGAGTTTGATCTTGGAACCCAAATGGTAGAAGGGGAGAACTCTCTCCTTTAAGGTATCTTTATGGCTAAATATTCTCTGTGGCACACCCACTCCCCAATAAATGCCACAGTGATAAAAAAAAAAAAAAAAAATCTTTATGAAAGAAAGCAGCTAAGCAGCAGGGTAGATGCTTTCCTGATGTGGGGAATGTCATAATAAACCAGTGTGCTTTTTCCAGTAAGAAGATGGCCATGTTAGTCCTTGCTGAGAAATTTTTTTTCTTTTGAGATTTTTTATTTGCTGTAACTAATAGATCCTATGAAACAGAACATAGCCTAAAGCCAGGTGTGGTAGTTTGTGATCCCAGCCTCAGGAAGTGAAAAGGAAAGATTGTCATAATTGGAGGTCAGTCTGGTCTACATAATGAGTTCTAGGCAAGCCTGCATTACATGAGACACCCTGTCTCAAAAAGAGAGTAGAATCTAAAGTGATTGCATCAATGTTTCATATACAGTGTTTTACCTGCATGTATGCCTGCACCTCAGAAGAGGGCACCAGATCGCATAGATGGTTGTCACCCACCATGTGGTTGCTCGGAATTGAACTCAGGACCTCTGGAAAAGCAGCCAGTGATGCCTCTGAGCCATCTCTTCAGACCTCAACATACTTTTTTTTAAGAATATTATAAAAATTATGTTCTTTAACAATTTCATGCATGTATAAAATATATCTTGATCTTATCTATCCCTATTTTCCCCATTCCCTTTGAACCCTTCTACTTGTCCTCCAACCTTCATGTTGTCAATGTCGTTTTTTAAAAATAACCCATTAAATTTAGTTTATGCTTCCAGCAGTCAAATGAGTGGGACCATCCACATGAGCAGGGGTAATCTACCAGTTGCTATAGTTGCTGTACCCCTAAGGAAAAGTGACTCCCTTCCCCAGCAACCCTCATTTGCCAATAGTTGCTCAGCCAGGGTTAGGGCCTCATAAGCCCTTCCCCGTTTATGCAGGAATCTGACTTGATCTTTTGAAGGTCATGTGAAGGTAACCACAGCTGCTGTGAGTTCATGAGTACAGTGGTTATGTCATGTCCAGAAGACAACAATTCTTAACAGTCCTCCAGTTCTTGCATTCTTTTTGCCCCTTTTGTGATATTTCCTGAGCCCTGGTAGGGAGTTGCTATAAACGTCCTATTTATGATTGAGCACTGAATAGTCATTTTTGTGTAGCCCTGGCTGGCCTTGAATTTGGGGTAATCTCCTGCCGCTGCCTTCTGAGTATTGGAATTACCAGTGTGTGCTTCCATGTCTGGTGCCTGTGCAACTTTGGACTTAATTTTTTATTTAATACGAACAAAACCGGGCTGGAGAGACGGCTCAGTGGTTAAGAGGATTATCTGTTCTTCTAGAGGTCCTTAGTTCAACTCCAAGTTCAACTCCAAGCAATGACGTGGTAGCTCACGACCATCTATAGTAGGATCTGATGCCCTCCTCCTGCATGCTTGTGTACATGCAGGTAGAGTGCTTATACATGTAAAATAAATAAAACAAAAAAAAATTTAAAAAAAACAAACCAAAATTTCCTCTCAGAAGTTCCCCCATTCTGCCGTTCTCCTTTTTTTGAGACGTATAACCCAAGCTGACTTTAAATTTGCTGAAGATGACCTTGAACTCTTAGATCCTCCTGCCTCTACCAACCAAGTACTTGGATTACCGGCATGCATTAACATGCCTGGGTAGAAATTACTCTTTATAAGCATTTGGAAAGTAAACATAATTCACTAATTTTTTTTTTCTTGGTTTTTGGTGTAGTTTTTTAGACCAAGGTGAAAAATCTTTCTAATCATTGTCCTAATTGTTTTTCCTTGCATCTATTCATTGATATTCAGGAAGCCTGTCTAGCAGTCCAGAAGAGATGTCTGGAGCTGAAGAGGGGAGGGAAACATCCTCAGGTATTGAAGTAGAGGCCTCAGACCTGAGTTTGAGCTTAACTGGAGATGATGGTGGCCCCAACCGCACCAGCACAGAAAGTCATGGCACAGACACAGAGAGCTCAGGTGAAGAAAAGGACTCTGACAGCATGGAGGACACTGGCCATTATTCCATCAATGATGAAAACCGAGTTCATGACCACTCAGAGGAAGAGGAGGAGGAACAGCCGCGGCACCGTGTACAGCGCAAACGGGCTAGCCGTGAGCAGGACTCATCAGATGATGAGCGAGCCCTAGAAGACTGGGTATCCTCAGAGACAACAGCTTTGCCCCGACCTCGCTGGCAAGCCCTTCCTGCCCTTCGGGAGCGGGAGTTGGGTTCAAGTGCCCGCTTTGTGTATGAGGCTTGTGGGGCAAGAGTGTTTGTACAGCGTTTCCGCCTGCAACATGGGCTTGAGGGCCATACAGGTTGTGTCAATACCTTGCACTTTAACCAGCGTGGCACCTGGCTGGCCAGTGGCAGTGATGACCTGAAAGTGGTGGTGTGGGATTGGGTGCGGCGGCAGCCAGTGCTGGACTTTGAGAGTGGCCACAAAAGTAATGTCTTCCAGGTAAGGCAAAGAGACATAATAGCAACTGAAAAAATCAAGCATGAGGTAGACAAATTTGAGTTGCTGCCTAGAGCAGAAGCTCGTAGCAAGTTGTGATTAGAATTAAACAGCAGGACTTGATCCAGCCTTGACTCCATAATATACTGAGAGACCCATGGTAGCTTTGTTTCCTTGAACATAAGGACTTTTGTTAAGTCAGGTGTGGATTAGATACTTGAAGCTTATATTGTGTCAATATAGGACAGTAAAGTAGAGAGCACAGACTTGTGAACCAGGCGGCCAAGTTTTCAGGTCCTGGCCACATATGAATTTAGACAGTTATATAACTTGTGCATCGTGTTTGTGTATCTATAAAATAGGGCTTGTAACATCCCATGAGCAGTGCATGGACTGAGGGTGTAGCTCAGTGGTAAAGCACATTCTTGGGTTTTTTTCCCTAGTACTGAAAAAGAAAAAGGAAGATAAGCACTTAGATTCATGGCTGGTATTTAATTGCAGTTAAAATCTGGTAATGATTATTCTGTGGTGTTACTACTCTTCAGTCTCGTCCTCATGCTGATGACTAGCCACTCATCCTTTCCAAGTTCCTTTCCCTTTGTGGCAAATTTATATTTGTTTGGCATATGAAAATTTGTCCTTGTTTATTCCTTGCTTTTCTCCTTGTAAGGCATGAGTGTAGTTTACCATAGTGTTTAATCATGTAGTGTTTATTCTTCTAGAACCATCCAGAATGCACCTCTATATCAGAAGTGATTTTCTTTCTCTTCCTCTTGCTTCTGGAAAGATTTGGGCTTAGCTGTCTGTACAGAGTAGGAAAGGTTCATCCAGCTGTACAAGGAAAGAAGGTGACAGGATGTCATGACCCCCCCCCCCTTTTTTTTTTTCTTAAATTCACCTCTTTAATTTCTTTTGTGTGTCTCTTTCATTCGTAATACTTCAGGCCAAGTTCCTTCCTAACAGTGGTGATTCCACCCTGGCAATGTGTGCTCGGGATGGGCAGGTCCGAGTTGCAGAACTGTCTGCTACACAGTGTTGCAAGAACACAAAGCGTGTGGCCCAGCACAAGGGAGCGTCCCACAAGGTTAGTAGTCTTTGTTCCCGTGATCGTGAATCAAGATCCTCCATGGACCTCAGCCAGGATTTTCCCTTCTCTCTGTCCGTTCTGTCCCCTTTGTTGTGTTCACCTACCTGCCTTACTTCATTCAGCCCCTAGGTTTGTAAAGAAGGGAGCAAAAACAGCTGCCCTAAAGTTCCTGAAAAACAAGTATTGAAGAGACCCTCAGTTCATAAATGTACAACATGTGGCTCATACCTGTAATCCTGGTACTTGGGAAGCAGATAGGACTGCAGTGAGATCAAAGCTAGCCTGAGTTATACAGTGAGACTGCCTTGAAAACCCCCAAATAAAAATAAACAAACCTAGCCCCAAGCTAGGATCATGGTTGCTTCAGAGATCCTGGAGTTCCTTTGTCTCTTTTAAACCCCTGAAGTTCATTCTGATTTTTTTTTTTTTTTTTAAGATCATTTTAATGGTTCCAAGGGGTTGGTTTCTCTGACGTGAAAATTCCTGACTTCCCAGCTCCCAGCTAGTAGCCTACAAATAGTGATGTTATTGGAAGCTTTATTTAGAGCTGTGAGTATAGAATGGATGGTCACAGCCAGTGAAGCTCTCAGAGCTTTCTAGTCTCGGGGTGGACATTGTTTTTCCATGCTATGCAAAGGAAGGTTTAAAAAATACCTGCGTCTTTGATTTTTTTTTCTTCATTGATTAAGTCTACCTACTAGGTAACTACTTTTTAGAATTAAGATACAGGGACTGAAAAAGAAAGAAATTTCTATATTATTTGTACTCCTGAAGGTGTGGACTTTATTTTAGAATGAACTCCTTTTTGTTTTTTTGAGATAGTTTCTCTAGCCCTGTCTGTCCTAGAATAAATGGACTATTAATTCACACAGTTAAGAGTGAGTGAAGCTAAATTAGTTCCCTTCTTAGAATTTTATAACAAAATTTGCTAAGGCGTTTTTTTTTTTTTTTTTTTTTGAGACATAGTCTGACTGTGTAGATCAGGATACCCTTGAACTCACAAAGATCCTCCTGCTTCAGCCTCCCAAGTGCTGGTTACCTACCACTCAACAGCCCACTAAGACATTTTAATTGCTTCCCTTAAAGGTAAGTGAATGGACTAGAGTCCCTCTAATTTTTAGAAACCACATCCTTTCCCTTTCTCTCCTTCAGTTGGCCCTAGAACCAGACTCTCCCTGTACGTTCCTGTCAGCTGGTGAAGATGCTGTTGTCTTTACCATTGACCTGCGACAAGACCGGCCAGCTTCGTAAGTTTAACCATAATACTTTTTTTTTTTTTTTTTTTCTTTTAAAGATTTGTTAGCTGGGCAGTGGCGGCACAAACACTTTTAATTCTAGCACTTGAGAGGCAGTGGCAGCCTGGTCTATAGAGTGAGTTCCAGGACAACCAGTGCTACACAGAGAAACACTGTCAAAAAAGATTTGTCTTTATACTTAATTTTAACCAAAAGGTCTAGAAGTGATGACTTAATTTATTTTTCAATTTTCTGTATGTGTGTATCTATGTGGGGATAATGTACACATGCGTGCAGATGTCCACAGAGACCAGTGGCATCAGATCCCCTAGAAGCTAAAGCTACAGGTAGTTAATGAACCATCCAGCATGGACGTTGGGAGCCAAATTCTGCTTCTCTGCAAGAGGAGTATGTGCTCTTAACCTGTGAACCATCTTTCTAGCTCCTAGTCATGTTTTCTTTGCAAAACTCTATTCCCTGGTCTTGAAAATGTTCCACATGTCATGGTAATGTTGAACTCTTATGTTTATTAAAGTATAGTACTTTTAGGCCTATGTATGTTAAGAGATAGCATAAGTTTTTGGAGAGGTTCACTGTTTCTTAGCAGTGAAATGCTTATACTCTTATTTCTCTGAGAAAGCTTACTTTATATAGGCAGACTTTAATAATTTGATGATCTTCTCTTCTCTATTCACTTAGATACCTACCATTCAGTTTACCAGAGGAAGTACATTATAGTCTAGCTTAGAGATATGGTCCTGTAAATTTTCAGTTAAATTACATATAGAAAAATAGAGATAAATCTTGAAAATAAGATTGATGCATATAGTAGTTTTGTTATACTATAGATCATTTGTACATGGAAGTCCCTTTTTAACTGTGTAGTGTCATAGAAGAACAAAGCACTGTTTGTTTGTTTTGTAATTTTTATTTTACTATTATTGTCTATGATGTACACAGTAGGCTGTATGTGCCATGGTGTGTGTGTGTGTGTGTGTGTGTAGGTCAGAGGACAGCTTTGTAGAGTTGGGTCTCTTCTTCCATCTTGATGTCAGTTCTTGGAACTGAACTCAAATTACCAGGCTTACACAACAAGTGCCTTTACCGAGCCATCTCTCTGGTTTAAGAACAAACATCTTGTGTGGGTCCAGGCATGTCTAGGTTAAATCTCAACCCAGTCATTACCAGTTATATAACTTTATGTAATCTGAATTTTACCGTTTTTCGTTATATCACCCTTTCTTATTAGACGTTCGGTAATACATATTTGCATGGATATATACACACATACATACATACATACATACATACATACATACATACATACATACATTGTCTGTTTCCATTTTTGTTGATTTTTCAATAGTTCTATCTTAAACTCAAATAATAAAAACACATGGACAAAATAGAAATTCTCCCTGTGTATCTTTTCCCATTTTCCAGCTACTGATAACTGTTGTTAGTAATTTCGAATAAGTTTCCAGTCCCTTTTGAATGTAGTTGTATGTGTGCATGTGCATCTGTGTGTCTATGACTTTTTCCTCCTAATGACTGCTTTCATTGATCTCTATACTTTGCTTTTTTTTTTTTTTTTTTTTTTTTTTCTTATTTTTTAGATAGGCTCTCACATAACCCAGGCTGGCTCATAGTTTATTCAAGAATGACTTTAATTCCTGATGATCTTGCCTCTGCCTCCTATGTTTTGGGATTAAAGATGTGTACCAGTATACCTGGGATCTGTATTCTTTTAATGGAAAGCTGGATAGATTTTAAAATCAAAATCTCATTTTGTAGGAACAGTTGTAGGCAAGTAACTTCCGACCTTGCCGAGAGAATGCTAAAATTTCTTTACAAAGAAATTTGTTTTGGTGACTGCCTTTTTGTTTCCATTTTCATTTTTCCAAAATGAACAAAAGCTTAAAACAAGAGACAAAAGCTGAAGTTAGGCCCCTCTTTATAGTTTCTTGTTGTCTTTCTGGTAAGTTTATTAATGTGTGTGATCTCTTATTTGACCATGTTCTGTAGGGTTACTCTTGATGTGGGATAAATTATGGCTGGTTAGCTAAATTCTTGGAAGCAAGGTTTGGAGGGTTCCTGGGGTTCTCTCTAGGCCCCATGCCATGAAGATCATCAGAAGAATCATTCTGGATTACAATTAGTAATTTTGAAGTGCTTCTTCAGTTTTACACATAGCTATCTTCATAAATCCATTCTTTCTTAATTTGTCTCAGATAAGGGAAAAGGATGCTGTTTTCTTTAGAATTACTTGTGTTCTAGAAAGTGATAGCTTGTTTTTCAATGTGTATGTGTCGTTTTAATTTTTAAATTACATGTATTTGTGTGTACACATGTACAGTACACACTTTGAAGGAGCTGTTTCTTTTCTTCTACCTGTGGGTCCTAAGGATCAAACTCCGGTGTTTTTGGGCTTGGTGGCAAGTGCCTTTACCCTGAGTCATGCATGCGTCTGGCACCCATTTTTAAAAACATTATATTTGTTTGCTTATTTACACACATGCATGCCAAGGTGAAAGTCAGAGGATGCTTTGAGGGAGTCTATTCTCCTTCCTCCTCGTGGAACCTGAGGCTTGAATTCATGTTGTCAAGCATGGCAGCGAGCCACTTACCACTGAGCCACTTGCCAGCTTTCCGTCTTATTCTTTTTGAGATGGTCTCACTAATTTGGCAAGACTAACTGGCCAGCAGGCTGTGGGGAGCAACCCATGTCTGCATCCCCATCACTAAGTTTAGAGGTACACGTCTTCACGTCCAGCCTTTTTTGTGGGTGGGGGCTGTTGCTCTGACTCATGTGCTTATTTTAGGATGGCAAACCCTTTACTAACTGGTTCATCTCTTCAACTCCAAAGCCAGGTTTTCAGTGACTTTTTTGGAATTGGGAGATAGACTCTGATATCCAGGGCTTTTAGCTCACTGTTTTGCCTGATTCTTCTTCTAGCTCCCTGTATCTCCACATACTTGGTGTGATAACTAAGGCACAATACACTCACGCACATGCTTTTAGCTTACACTTAAATTTTTAAGATTTACTTTATTATTTTATGTCTGTGGATATTTTGCTGCATGTATGTTTGTGTACCACATATGTGTGGGAAGCCAGAAAGGACATTGGATCGCCTAGAACTGGAGTTAGAGACAGTGGTAAGCCACCATGTTGGTGCTGGTAATCAGACTTGAGGTGCTCTAGAAGAGCAGCCAGTGCTCTTAACCACTGAGCCATCTCTCTAGCCCCAGCTTATACTTTTTATTATTTCATATATTGTTCAAAAATGATGGTTTCATTATTGCATATAATATGTGACATAATTATATATATATAATTATTGCAGTATAGTTATTGCATATAATATGATTTTATAATCACCCTCTAAATTCTTCTCTTAGCCCATAAATCATATTTCTTTTCCTCAGTCTTCCTCTTATTTCTCCTTTTATTAAAGACAAGTCTCTTATAATCCAGGCTGGCCATTAATCCCTTAGATAATTGAGGATGATTTCAGTTCCTGCTCTTCTTGCCTCTTTTCTGAGTGCTGGATTATAGACATGTGCCATCTACCCGGATTATGTGGTGCTAAGGACTGAAGTCATGGATATGCTTTGGCTCAGAATGAATGCTGGAATTTCAGACATGCCACCATGGCAGCTTTTTCTCTCTCTCGTTGTACTTCCCCTTTCTCTTATCCCATGCATGGAAGAAAACATGCATGTCTTTATGACTCTGGTTTAATTACTTAGATTAATGATTACCAACTTATCAAACAACATGAGAAAATTACTTCATGTTTTTTCCTAGTCTTCAAAATGACATAGTGCATTTTCTTATTCAGAATAGAACAAAACAAACAAACAAATAAAAAAAAAACCTACTTTTTTTTGGTACATATATATATTTGCTCTTTGATTTCTTCACTTTTTATGACCATCTTGGGTCTTTAGGTTTTTTGCTGTTGTTGTTTGGTTTGGTTTTGAGACACTTCACTGTAGCCCAGGCTGGCCTAGAAGTCATTATAGCCCATGCAGAGCTCCATCTGGATCTTTAGGAGAATATAACTGTATGCTTTTTCTACTCTTTGAAGGAAACTAGTGGTGACAAAAGAGAAGGAGAAGAAAGTGGGACTGTATACAATCTATGTGAATCCTGCTAATACCCACCAGTTTGCAGTGGGTGGACGAGATCAGTTTGTAAGGTGAGTTTGTCAGTCTTTTGTGTGTTTGAAAGTTTGAGATTTATGGTAGATTGTGCATTGCCAGATGCTCCCCAATGCTGAGTTAGCAAATTGTGTCCATTAACTATCATGTTGAACTTTTTACCCTTTTAGAAGTGCTTAAGCACCTTCTGAGATATTCTGTTCCCTATTACAGCAACCTGAGGAGTTTTACAGATATTATCATTTTCAAAATTGATGTATTTTTATGTATGAGTGTTTTGTGTGCATGTGTATAACTGGGTACCATGTTTATGAGTAGTGCACATTGTTTATGAGTGGTGCCTGAGGAACTCAGAAGAGAATATTGCTGCTTTGCCCTATTTTCTGTCCTGAGATTATTGTGTTTTAAAGAAGAGTGATAAATTTGTCCCACATAGTGGCTAAAACATAAACCATTATGTGTCTTCCCCTATTTTTCTATATAAATCAACATTGTAGTAACAATCTTTTCAAATAAGTGTTAAATTTTGCTATTGTCTGTGCGTGTATGATAAAATAGATGAAATCTATACAGTAGATGAGAGTGTGTATGCCATAGTGCACGGTAGTGCGCATGCAGAAGTCAGAGGACAGCCTGTGGCGCTACTTCTGTCCTGTGGACTTGTTTGGGAATCCTGCTCAGATGATGAGGCTTCATCATGGAGCAGCAAATGTGTTTACCCAGTTAATCATCTTGACAGCTCTGCACTAGCAATTTTCAACACTGGTTGCATTTAGAAAGAATTTGCCTTAGGAACACTCTGTAACTGAGAATTTTTGCTTCTGTAGTTCTGAACCACTTTTCTTTATCTGTAATAATATCTTTGTTACTGTGAACATCTGTTTTTAACACTGGCTATTGAGACGCATCCTAAGGGAAAACAGACATCATTCTTTCAATCCCCATTGTACCAGTTGTTTTCCCTTTGACCCTTATTCCCTAGCTATCCAGCTGCTGTATTTTAACTACATTTCTTTGGGATTGTCAGTTGAAAAAGGAGGGGCAGCATAATTAGAAAAATAGTGTGTTGTTTTTCTCTTCTGCTGGTGGTGAAATTATTCTTTTGGAATGAAAGCACATTTTTGTAACTATTTGAAATTACTTGTATTAGAATCGTGAGATTTTCAGAAAATATGTGGCTTTTTTTAAGCGTTCTGGACAATTCGTTACTCTTTCACACTTGGTTTTAGTTAGTAGTCTTTAAATATGAAGTAGTGTTTCATGTGTCTATTTTGTGTGTATGAGTCTTGCCTGCATGCATGTGTGTACATCATGTGTGTACATCCTGTGTGTGCCTGGTGCCCACAGAGACTGGAAGAGGGCTGTGGATCCCTGGAAGTCGGGAACCAGGCCTGTGTCCTCTCCAAGAGCGGCTAGTGCTTGTCGCGCCTGGCTCCTCTCCAGCACTGCCACTCTTTTTATAGAAGATGCTGCAGAGTTTTCTGGGTTAAGTTCCAAGCATTCGCTGAACTTCTCGTTGCAATTTTTTTTCCCTTGGGAAAAGATTGTTTGAAAAAATCTTTGTCATGGAGAATTTAACCACAAAGATCAAGATGGCTGTTTAAATAAAGCTCGAGTGCCCTGTTCCACAGCTTATAATTTCCCAAGGTTAGAGTAGGGCTGAGAATTACTCTTAGTATTTCAGCACACAGAGGAATGAAATACTGATCTCTTCTTTTATCAGCTTCAGTGTTTTTAGTCCCTTTGTACACTCTAATCTCTTAGCAGATGGTAGCTTACTTACCTTTCAGACATGCAAGTGGATTTGAGCCACACTGATTCTACATTCTCTTGTCCTTTTTGTACCTAGATCTTCTTTGACACTACACTGACCTCTTCTGCTCTGATACTTCCTTAGTTTGCCTAAATGAATGTTGGAATCTTATTTTCTGGTACAAATTTGAAAACATTTGTACCCAATACTTCATGTAATGACACTATTGCTCTTGATACTGTCCTAAAGGAATTCCTGTAGTGTCCTTTTAAGAAAGAAGCAAGGAATACAGAGAAATAGTCTGCTCAGACTCAAGGCTTCACATAATTATTACTGATTTTTACTTTAGGGTTCTGAAAAAGCATTTAAAGGAAGGTTTAGGGAGACATACTTTTTGATCTAAAGCCAAAACAAACAAAAACAAAGAAAAATAGAAATTAACAAATATAGGCAGTGTGAGTGTCTGTCCCTACTACTACACTCCGCATAGATTGCCGTAAGAGTTAGAGGAGGGGAATGATGGAGCATCTGTCTATCCTGACTGGATCCCTAGCACTAGAAAGAAGAGTATCAGGGGTGAATCCTTTGGTGGTGAATTGGTAGTCAGTTGGTTGACTTGTAAACTTACTGCTGTAAGATTGGGGATAGGTCTTGGTTCATAAGACTAAGTTGATAAATAGTTCCCCCATCCTTTGATTGAGAATAACACATTGGAGGAACATCAGATGAAGGTCAGATAGCTGAGAAGGGTCTAGGGTAGGGTAGCAAGTCAGTAGTTAGCCTGAAAGCTTAAATAGCGAGAGCTGTGGTATAGGCTTTAAGTAAGGTACTAGGGAGGTGGTTTAGTTGATAAAGATACTTGCCACACGAGCATAAGGGCTTGAGTTTAGATCCTCAGCATTCCCATAAAAATAGCTGGGCATTTTGGGACATACCTGTAATCCCAGCACTGGAGGGGTAGACAGGCAGATCCCTGGGGCTTGCTGTCTGAATTAGCGAGCTCCCGTTCAGAAAATAGTGGAAAATTTTGTGTTCGTCTTATTAAATGCCACTATCTTGTATGGAGGCTAGTAAACTGTGCTAACCTTTATATTCCTTTTCTTTTTTTCGAGACAGGCTTTCTCTGTGTAGCCTTGGCTCTCCTGGACTCATTTTGTAGATCAGGCTGGCCTCACAGAGATCCGCCTGCCTCTGCCTCCCAAGTGCTGGGATTAAAGGTGTGTGCCACCACTCCTGGCTATAATTTTGGGGTTTTTTGTTGTCTGTTTTTAAAGATTCATTTATTATGTATGCAGTGTTCTGCCTGCATGTACACCTGCATGTCAGAAGAGGGCAACAGATCTTATTGCAATTGGTTGTGAGCCACCATGTAGTTGCTGGGAATTCAACTTGGGACCTTTGTAAAAGCAGCCAGTGCTCTTAAACCCTGATCCATCTCTCCAGCCCTTCTTTTGTTTTTCTGGGGTTTTGTTTTTAATAAAGTTTTACAACTAAGTGGTTAAAAGTAAAATGCCTCTTTTCCAGAGGATCACAGTTCAGTTCTCAGCACCCATGTTTGGTGGCTCACAACTGTCTGTAATTCCAGCTCTAGGGTTCCAGTGCCCTCACCTCTGTAGGCTGCTGCATTCATATGCTCATACCCTAATACAGGCATACACACCTACAGATAATTAAAGATAAATCTTTTTTAAAAAATAAAGTTTTACTGGATCACAGCCATGACTCTTCATTTACATATTGCACATCAGAATGTCAGTGCTTCAGTGGCAGAATTCAACTTTGATACTTGGTAGTCTGCAAGGCTTTTCTCTCCTTCTGCTTAAGAGTTTGCCAACCTGTGCTCAGGCATCCTAACTATGACTGGAAGAAAAGAAAATAAAGATACAAGTATCCCTTAAAAAACAAAGAACAACGACTACTGGGTACCGAGAAACAAAATAGTCCATATACCACAGATCACCCCCATGGGGCTTGAATATTTAATACTTTTCACTAATTTGCTGACTTACTAAACTTGATGTGTTTTTCATTTTTGTTTTGAGACAGGGTCTCACTGTAGCTCTGGCTGGAGAGATCTTCCTTCCTTTGCCTCCTGAGTACTGGCATTAAAGGCATGTGCTCTCGTGCCTGGCTATTTTCTGAATTTTTTAAAAGGGTTAATAACATTTAGCTCTGTTGATTTGCGTTTTTTAAAAGAGCTGTTAATGTAAACCTAATTGGATGTATTTCCTTCCCTGGTTAGCTTTGAACCTTTGCATAGTTCTGAACCTGAAAGGTACTGGTAATGTTTTGGAGATTTGGGGGTGTTTTTTGGTTTTTCTTTTTTTTTTTTTTTTTTTTTCCTTAGATAAACCTATGACAGTCTATAAATTAGGCACATCGAATAGCAGCAATGACCAAAAGTAAAATAAAATGTTATAGAAATACTGTGGGGTATGTGGACCATGCCACCAGGAGAACTGGCATGAAACTGGTGAGGTAGAGCGGTTCCAAACCCTAGAAATGTCAAAATTGAAATTAGCCTTGTTCTGAGCCTGTATGCCCTGGCCCTCCTTACCTGGTGACCCCAACTTTCCAGGTAGTCACATAGCTGGTATCTGGATGCAAATAGAGCATCACTAGCATGCTGGCCACAACCAGTGGAATGCATTTACCCCAAACCCCCTCCCCCAGTCCCCAAGGTTCATACAGTACCTGTTTACCATGGAATAAATGGACATAAGCTTCTTCACTAATAAACTGGCACAAGCTGATTCACCGAAGATCATCTAAGAGTGTATGGACCCTGAGGGATGGAGCAGAGCATGGAACCACAACATACGATAATGAAAATTATTTAAAACTAATAAATTGTTTGCTGTTGTTTTGTTTTCTGGACTTTTCCATTCAACATTTTGACTGTGGTTGACTACAGGTAACTTTGGTAAATTGGTTTGTTGATAGTTTCTGTGGCCTATGAAAATTAAATAGAAGTTGAAGGAAGAAGGGATGGAGAGATGGCCCAGCAGTTATGAACACTTTCTTCTAGAAGACCTGGGTTCAGTTTCTTGCACCCACATGACAGCTCACAACCATCTGTAACGCCAGTTTCAGAGTAACTGGGCACCCTTTTCTGAGCTCTGCAGCACTGCGCTTACACATGTGACCCATATATGTACATGCACGCAAAACACTCATGCACAAAAATAAAGATAAATCTTACAGACCTGTTGCCTTATAGAAAGCATGGCCTCTGGCCATGAGTGAGAAATGCTTTGGCATAAGTAACAAACATATAAAAAGTATATTAGTTGCTTCTGTGAAAATAAACCATAGATAGTTCAGCCATAAAGTGCTCACCTCACAGACATGGAGCCTGAGATTGATCCCCAGAACACACTTAAAAAAAAATGTGGGGTGTGATACTTTCTGTCTGCAGGCGAGACAGAAACAGGAAGTTCCCTGTCTCTATTAGCCAGTTTAGTCTAATTGGTAGCTCCGGGGCAGTGAGAAACCCTGTTGGCAAAGGATGTGGATGGTGTTCCAAAAGATGACACCTAAGGTTATCCTCTGGTGTTCACATATATGAAACATACCCCCTTACTAAAGTAGTAAGTGGTAGAAAACTTGAGAGATAAGCAACTCAATTGGGGACATAATAGAGGATTACTGCTATATGGAAAATACCTGGATAAGGTAGAGTTTGAAAATGGATTGGAGAGGGGAACACCTTTCCTAAAAAGAAACCAAAAGCTTTGATTAGGAAAGAGGCTTTGTCTTATAACTCTGTAAGGAGTCACTTTGTAAGTTTTGACACTTTCATTGCTTTCATAGGATTTATGACCAGAGGAAAATTGATGAGAATGAGAACAATGGAGTACTGAAAAAATTCTGTCCTCATCACTTGGTAAGATTCACGAAGGGCTGTTGGCTCCTGGCTTCCTTGACTCCATTCTTAGCTGCCTTCAAATTCATTGGCATAGTATGAAGAGTTTGAAGTCAGACAGATTTTAGTTTTGGCTTTCTCACTTAAAAGTTTTATGATTTTAGGCAGCCAGTTGACCTTTATTAGTGTTAAGTGTTCTCAACAACAAAATGGAGATTTGCACCAATGATGTGGCCTAATGAGACAATGCAGCTGCAGTGTCTAATCTGCACAGAAGAGAACCAAAACAGGGCCTCTCTAAGACTCTACTCATCGAGCTGGATATGTCTCCTCAGTTATATACTTCACTCTCACTCACTCATCCCTCCCCCTACCTTTTTATTTATCTCTGTCTGTCTCTGGGAAAAGATACAGGGGAGTTTCTAGAAAAACCTGTTCCTGAAAGTGGTTTAACAAATGGGGTGGGGGTGGGGGCATCCGTCAGTATCTGCTCCTTATTGCAGGTGAACAGTGAGTCCAAAGCAAACATCACCTGTCTTGTGTACAGCCACGACGGCACAGGTACGTGAGCAAGGCCCAGCTCCTAGGCTGGCATGCCTCCTCTGTCTAGGAACTGCTGAGCCAATGAGGCATGTGCCCTCGAGGGCTCACCATTGTACTAGCTCGAAGTGGAACAGCTGGGAATAGTTGCTGATGGTGAGCATGTAGTGGGAGGATGCAGATGACCCTTGGAAACGCTGCAGGTGATGCTTCATGGGCTTGTCCTGAAGCCTAGACTACTAGCCTAAGCAAGCTCTTATACCTTTGATTGATTAGTAAGCTAAAGAGTGTGATCTCTTGTGTGTTCTGCTATCCCTGGGCTGACAATGTGTTCATTGTAGACCCTATATAACCTTACTTGCTACACTTCCAAACTAAGTAAGATGGATGCTATATCTGGGTGCTAAAAGGATGCACTACAAGCGAGAAGCCCCATCCTAGACAATCTCCCAACCCCCACATCTCCTGGTTCCTGCATTTTTCAGCCTTTGCCTTCACTGCTGTGTTCTTGTTCTTGGCAGAGCTCCTGGCCAGTTACAATGATGAAGACATTTACCTTTTCAACTCTTCTCACAGTGATGGGGCCCAGTATATTAAGAGATATAAAGGTCATAGAAATAATGCTACAGGTCAGTCTGCATTTCTGTGTTTCTGTGACCCAGGTCACATGACAGCCCACATTATCTTGTTCCCATTGTGTAAGTGGGAACAAAGTAAGGACTAAGCTGTCTGTGTCAGCTTGGGCAGTTAAGGGTTGTCCACAGTTGAGCTGGAGTTTTGTTTTTGTGTGTGTGTGTGTGTGTGTGTGTGTGTGTGTGTGTGTGTGTGTTTTGTTTTGTTTTTAGAGTGATTGGGGAGGACTCAGTAGTGTCTTCACTGCAATGATGTTGCCTCCCATTGATTTAAATGTGAAGCTAGACTTCTTTATTTTCTGTGATTTTCAGGTACCGCAGAGTAGGCGCAGAGGTCCTTTTAGAGTCAGGGAAAGCTGTAGTACTGAACTACATATAATGTGGGTAAGATTATGTCTTTAGAGGGAGAGAAGGGAATGATTCTTTTAAATAAAGCAAAGTAGGAAGAATAGTTGTATAGCGCCTAAATTTCCAGTGAAGTTTGCCTTTTTAGTTCTGTGTTGTAGTTCCCATACATTGGTGCTCACTGGACTCACCTCAGTCTTTTAATAAAAGAGCACTGGTGCCGCCCCTCCCCCTACCATATTTAATTGGTGCTGGGTGCAGCTGGAGCATTGGGATTTTTTTAAAATATCCTAACTGGTTCTAATAGAAAGAAGGTAGAGGATTACTACAATTTGTTGGCACCACTCCCAGCTGTGTGTTAGCATTTGATCTAGAGACGGTAGTAACCTTTACCACTACTTTTGAACTGGTAAGAAGGAAAGAGGGGCAGGGCTCTGTGTTTTGTATTCATTCCATGGGCAAGCAAAAGAAAAAGTGTGGCTGGTATGTGGCACTTTTCTTTAGTAGTTGGACTCCTGTTGTGAGCATAATGAGATGCTTCTCATGGGTGCTGATGCCACATACCTTTGTCATTCTCAGATCAGCTGATGACCTAAGAAAGACTGACTGGGTACCAATCAAATACATACCAAGAATAATCCTAGGGCCCAAGGTGGGCAGATTGGAAATGAATCAGGTTGGGACAGATGGGCATTAGCTTAAGGCCTCTGCCTGTTAGAATGTAGCTGAAGCAGACTGTTGCCCAGCCGTGCACCTGGTAGAGCTCTTTGGGAAAGTGTAAATAGTCTTTGGAACTGGTGTGAATCCTGTAATTATCGTCTACCACACGCAGTCTCTTGACTTGTTTCGTGGAAATGAAAAGAATTATTTGGCATTTGGATGACTCAGAGTTTGTGAATTACTAAATTCTCAGTGAGGTAAATAAATACAGGCCCAGTGCCAACCCTTATGTGGTTTCTTCCCTCATTTATCTTTTCAGTAAAAGGCGTCAATTTCTATGGCCCCAAGAGTGAGTTTGTGGTGAGCGGTAGTGACTGCGGGCACATCTTCCTCTGGGAGAAGTCATCCTGCCAGATCATTCAGTTCATGGAGGGGGACAAGGGAGGCGTGGTGAGTATGGAGAGCTGGACTGGCTGCCCTGGTTTCTCAGTCTTGGCTGACTCCTGGCTAGGTAGGAAAAAGCTAGATGCAAATTCATCTCTCTTTATTTATTTTAGGAGAAACATTGTGGGAAACAAGTATAGTTTGTAATTGTAAGACACACCTTGAGACATACCAGAGAGCAGTTTCAGAGTTGAAAATGCTTTTTGGTGTCAGGATCCCATTCCCTCTTGCAGTTTTCGTGGTATGCTAGTGAGGATATTTCATAATTTAGTATTTATTTAATGTACTATTTAGGAGAAGACCCATAGGGATAAAGTGCCATGCCTGTTGTTAAATGAATAGATACACATAATATGCTTGTATGTATATAGAAAGAAAAGCAAAGATAATAAGATACATATTTTTCTTGGAAAGAACGGCTAAGCAGCCTGCTAGATAGTATGTCATATGTCAGATCATGTCTGCCTGTCCTTTGAGTTTTACATTTTTGCAAGCATCCTCTGTATTAATGAGTCAGGAAAAAACTGTTAAAATCAAATTAAGGAGTGAAGAATGGTCAGCTCTTGTGTATCTACTCTACTGTATTTTTTCCTTCTTTTTTTAAAGACCAAGCATTAGGAAAGAGTCAATTAAATAGCCTTCTATTTAAACAAGGTTTTGAACCACTGATGAAAGGGAAGAGGCAATCTGAAATATTACACTTTACTGATTACCTCGGTGGTTTGGTTATCTGAGTCCTCTAAGAAATGACTAGAACTGCTTAGGCTCTCATCCTTTTCATTCTTCTAAGCTGTGGGGTACTTCAGAGTCCAGCTATGACTTGATGAGGCATACCAGAGAGCAGTTTTAGAGTTGAAAGTGCTTCCTTGGCAGTCACGAGCCCATTCCTTCTTTCAGTTCTCTTGATACACTAGTGAGGATATTTCATATTTTTTTCTGATCTCCTCTAAATTTTCTGACTCTAGAACATATATAGATTAAGTCTTCTATAGCCTGAATGTAAGAAGAGAGGAATCTATAAGTTCAAGGTGTGTCTTACTCTTCTCTACTTCTATCTCCTTTCCTTCAGAGGTCCCTCCTCTGTCATGTCTAATTAACAAGTTCAGAACATTGGAGTCTTAATGTTTTGCAGTAGGCACATATGAAGAGGGACAAGTGAATTGTTTCATGATCATAAATGATCGTCTTGCATTTTGTTCCAGAAAGATGCAGGGATGAATGCCCTCTCCTAAGTCAGCACCTGTCTGTTCTGCAAAAGCATTCTGCTGACCAGTTTGCTTTCAGCTTAGCCAGTACCAGAGTTTGTTGATTAACCCAGTGCTCAAGGGGAAGAGCATCTAGTTGGGATGTGTGGATCCCAGGCCAGAGCTTTCATGATTCTAAGAGATGTAGTGACTATCTCTAAAGAAAGTTTCTTTGCTTGTTCTTGCCTTTGTGTGAGCAGAATGATCCATGTGCTTCTTAACTGGTTCCCTCTGAGATAGTTTTGTTTTTGTTACAACCTTCCAGCAGTGGAGGCCATCAGGCTCCAGTCTAGGCATAGATGATGAAGCATTTTGTATCATAAAGTAGAACATTCGCATCAGAGGGATCTTAGATGTTATTGCCCACCTTGCCCAGTTCTCCTAATTGTTTTGGGATCCTTTCTTTGTTCCCATTCAATTTCACAGGGACAGGAGTGGGAGATGATGTCAGGGAACAACTCCTTTTCTCCCAAGAGCGCTTTGATGCTCAGTTCCATCCCTCTCCTCCTTCCCCCAGTCTGCCAAGGCCAGACTTCTTTTCTCTGCTCAAGCATTATTGACAGAGTAAGTTCTGGCATTGAGACAGGTCTGCTGAAGTGACCAGGTCTCCTGACCCAGGGGTTCTCTTTTGGCTCCCCTGCAGCCTCCAACTCAGGTATTGTATGTAATTTATTCTCCTGTCCTCTTGCCATTGACTTTGTACTTAGGCTTAGGTCCCAAGAAATTGTTGCCTTATGCTTTTTCATTTGACCCACTTGTTTGATATTTCTGTAGCTCAAGAATACAGGTCGTTAGCAAGATTTCATGAGGAAATGGATGGCTAAATGAGGTCAGCTTTACATGTGTAAGTCAAGTATCTGTTGAGAACGTTTATTATTGGAGTTTGTTCTCTAGTGTTTCCTCAGGCTTCCAAGTGCATAGCCTAAAAGAAACTCAATGAGTTCACATGTGAAATAGGAACAGAAGAAAACTGAGCTTTCTGGTTTACTCTTAGGCTCAGACTTAGATTTGCTCTTCTCTAGGCTGTTTTATTTGTACTCAAAGAAAATGAAATCGTCTTTCTCTGTGGCTGCCTTACCATTTCCTTAGCTGCTGTCTGAGTGTGCAGGTACCAGCAGTGAAGGTTGGTCCAGAGAAAACTAGAAGAGGCTTTTTGCCAGGGTATATTTTCTTGGACTATAGAGCAGCTGCAAGGCGGGGTGTGTTTCCTATCTGTTCCTCATCTGACTAAAAGCCTAAAAATGCTTTAGCAGCTAGATCTGGGACTGGCTCTTCCGGTGGGGATGGGAACTGCTCTGTTCTGCCCTGTCCTGCCCTGCCTTTCCCTTCCCTGTTAAGGAAGCTTATATTTTCAAATCAGACAGCAGAGGGCATGGGTGCTTTCAGACAAAAGGAAACTGTCTGAAACCAGATGTCTGCCATCTACTGTTTTTTTTTTTTTCTACTGTTCAGTGAATGAGGTAGCTGAAGTTGATTGAGTGGAGAATCTGTAGTTACAGTGTGCCTTCCTATGGCTGAGTTTACTATGCCCTTAGGGCAGGTTATCAGGATGTTGCCCTTTATGATACAGAGTTCTTAAACAAATACAAACCTCCCTTACTACCCCCACCCTCTTGGTTCATCCTCTTCTCTCCAGCCTCTGACATCCTCCAGATCACAAACAGTGCCAAGTGTGTATAATTGTTTTCCACATCTTTTCTGGAAGTGCAGTGGCAGCTACTGCTTTCCTAAGTTTTGTGGGGGTTTTTTGTTTTTTGAATTGGCACTTGATGAAAGCCACTGGAAGGATTTTTTTTTTTTTTTTCCTTTTCCAAGCCTTGGCTAAGTTGGAGCTTTAGATTCTGGAGTGAATGGAGTCATTTGCTGTACCTCATTAGCTTATGAAGCCAGCAATAGGCATGGCCAATCACCACCTGCTCCTGGGGCTATGTCTAGGGATGCAGCCTCCCCATCTATATATTGAAAATGTTAAGACAAGCTGATTTTGCATCCAGTTTGTATCTTCTCTACTGCCAGGGCTATTTGGTGTAGGCTCAGGTAGGTGGGCCTGCTTCAGCCCAGGGCAAGGGCAACTGTTTGGCTCAAGGCAGCCCTGGATTTTAAATTCTACTCCCATATACTCCTGAGCCCTTGCTTTCATTCCTCTCAAACCAGGTAAACTGTCTTGAGCCCCATCCTCACCTACCTGTTTTGGCAACCAGTGGCCTAGACCATGATGTGAAGATCTGGGCACCAACAGCTGAAGCTTCCACTGAGCTAACAGGGTTAAAGGAAGTAAGTGGCTAGCTGAAGACATTCATTTGTTTCTACTTATGCATGTAACTGTTATCATTCCCCATTGTCATAAGGAAGGAGTAACTTGTTGCTTAGTCCTTTAAAGACATTGCTCTAAACAAGCTTCTCTACCTTACTCCCTGCCTCTGTGGAGACAGTCCTGAGCTAGAGGTCAGCTCTGAAGTGCTTCTAGTTAGTAGGTAGGAAGCATCTTCAGGAAAAACTTTTGTATTAAATCATCCAACCTTCTCAGTGGCTGACTTTGGGCATCCTGTTCTAATCTAATCTAGCTCTACATTAGCTTAATGGTATCTGAAAGGATGATTTACTGGGGTGGAAGACACAGTCTTCTCATGCTGTGTATGTATGTGGGGCGGGGGGGGTGTCTGTGTCTGTCCCAAGTACTGGGGATTGTACACATGCCTTACCACTGATCTTCATTCTAGACATTCTAGCCCTTGTTTTTCAGAGACAAATTTTCAGTGAGTAGCTCAGGCTTGCCTTGAGTTTGTAATCCCGTACTCCACTTTCAAGTGCTGGGCTACAGTCATGCCAACAGGAGTACCAATCTTACTGATCAAGCCCAGAGGTTCATTACTGTCCTGTCTCCCGACCCTTTTGGGTTTTAGGTGATTAAGAAGAACAAGCGAGAACGGGATGAAGATAGCTTGCATCACACTGACCTGTTTGATAGTCACATGCTTTGGTTCCTTATGCACCACCTGAGACAGAGACGCCATCATAGGGTAAGCTTCCATTGGAAATGAACTCCCAAGGACTGTGCTCCTTTAAAGAAGGCTAAAAAATTTCACGGCACACTTTCTTACTACTTTAAAGAGAAATGGAGTAACCTTGGTTGGAGGTCTCATCCATAGGCCTTTATTCCCATTAGAGCAACTAATAGAAGGCAGGTGCTGTGTGATTTTTGTCTTCTGTCACCATATATGCAGAGGGTTATCCTTACAGTTGCAGTGGTTGGATTGTGGGTCGAGAGTAGAGAAATAGTTGCTCTGGGTGACCTGTGTTAACTGTCATGCTAAGAATCTAGAGCATGCATCAACAAACACATTTTTATTGAAAATGCAGCAATATTTGTTCTCTGTATTAACTGAGGCTGCTTTCATGGTCCAGAGACAGAGCTGAACATTTCTAACAGACCATATGGCAAATCTGAAATCTAAAATATTTACTCTCTGTCCTGTTAAGAAAAATTCTGAGCCAGGTACTGTAGTAAGCACTGTAATTCTAACTACCAAGGAGGCTGAGGTAGGAAACTGAGAGTAAACAGGTCACCCTAGGTATTTAATTTAAACAGGGGAGGGTGGGGAGGGAGTTCTCCTAGATCCAACAATCTTGCCCTTGATCCAGAGATGTTACTAACAAGGATTTCCCATCCTACAGCGCTGGCGAGAACCTGGGGTTGGGGCAACAGATGCGGACTCTGATGAGTCTCCCAGCTCCTCAGACACATCCGACGAGGAGGAGGGCCCAGACCGGGTGCAGTGCATGCCATCCTGAGGCCCCAAACATAGGAGGGATGGGCTGGGGCTGTCAGCCCAATCCTGCCTGGGCAACTCTTTTTCGGTCCCAGGCCCTTACATTCAACAGAAATGCACTTTGGACTTTTGTTTAAATAGAAGATATCTGAGGAGGACAGACCACAGGAAACTGAACCAGCAGAGAGCCCCTAGAAGTGAGAGATGAGACCGAGCCCCTCTGAGGTTCTATGGAAAGGTGCAAAGGACTCAGCAGAAATGGGCCTCTCCCTGAAGCCCTATGTTTAGGGGGAAAGAAACAAAGCCTTTTGTAAACTGGCTTGGATAGAAAATGGGGCTTATTTTCCTTTAACCTCCCTTGTTTCTTTTGTGGGGGGGAGGGGGGAGGACTGGTTGTTCAGTACCAGTGGGCCAGAGAGAAAGGCAAGAATGCCATTCTCTTTGGCTTAGGTTTTTCACCTTTTCTTTCTTTTTTTTTCCCCTTTTATTTTTTTGAGAAGTCAGGCAGTTCCTTTTTTTCTCTTCCTTTCTTTTTTGCCCCTGAGCAACCACATCCCAGGGTCCTGTTTCTCTGGAAAATCCTTAAGAGTCCCTAACCATCCCAGTACTCTTCCCTTTCCACAACACTTATTCTCTATGTATCACAGTGTTTTGCACTTGACTGTGTATCCTTCACTTTCTCCTCTTCATCCCATCACCCTCTAAATGGGGATCCATGATGGAGGTTGTGGAGAAATAGGAGGGGAAAGAGGTGGAAGAACAGGAAGAAGTTACCTCTTTTGTTTTTTGTGTTCAGTGGCAGCAATTTCCCTGTCCCTATCACTGTTAGAGGCCTAATTTTATATCTACAAATATATTAAAAAGCAAGTTAAACTTGGATGTATCAAGTTAAAATTATTGTCAAAAGTTTAAATACCTATATATTCTCTATGAATGCAATGCAATAAAGGGACTTAAAGGAAGATTGAGCGAGAGTGGTGATATAGAGGTAATACGTCAGCTTGTCGTTATGTATGGCTATCAGAACCTAGGGCTTACTCTTAGGTTTTACAAGGCTCAACAAGAAAGGATATTTAGCTGTGCTCTTATCTGCCTCGGTGCAGAGGTTTGGAAAAAAACAAGAAATTCTTTTCAACTTTGCCTCAGGTCTCCTAATTCCCTTAAGTTTTGTGGGGGCTCCCAAGATTGCTCTTCTCATTAGAGGCTGGCCTGTCTTTAAAACATGACTGAATTGTGACTTCAGGAAGGGCACCACTGCTACAGAGACTGTATCCTGATTCTTTGTGTGACAGAAAGCACACTTGCCTCCTCGCCTTTAGCTGCTTGATTCTTTAAGCATTCAATTATGCACCAGCTCCCTTCCTAAAGGAAGGATGAAGGGAAACCTTCCAGGGAATTGAGGGACAAGCCAGTAATTGGAAGGTTTATTCTAGTGACTGGGGCTTAAGACCCCTGTCTTAAAAACTGGCCACTGAGTATGAAAGTCCCGTTAAATTCTTGCCCATAAATGCTTTTGCTGCTATCCTTTGCCCCTACTTTCCACAAGATCCAATCAGGAATCCTGCATCCTAGGACAGCTTGCTTGAGCACACTGGGCCAGGAGGGAGGGAAAAGAAAAAGAGGATAGTACTCCTCCACACTCTTTCCCTCTTGTCCCCATGCTAGCAGCTTGGACCAGATGCCAGCCACTGGGCTTCCTTCCTGATGCAGGAAGTGTGTGGTACCTGGCTAGTGTTATGTCCTCACTGCTAGAGGGATGAGGAGGTGGGCTCAAAACCATGCACTCTGAAATTCGTTGTATTTTTTTTCCCCTCAGTAAAGCTTTTCCCCCCGACTGCTGCTTTGTGTGTGGTATGTGGTCCATTTATTTATGGTAGAGTACTTTGGTTCCTTCCAGTATACATAACATGCTTGATTCTGCCCATATTTCAAAAGCCCAGTCTGGGATATCCCTGTTGCTGGTGTTTGAGCTACATTAAGAATGTTGTAAGCGGAATAGTCCTGTTTGTGTCAGTGGTACTTAGAGATGGGGACACACGGTTTTGGGGTGTTTCCCAGGTGTTCTATCCTGCAGTAAATAATAGGGAAAAGATCACTACGTGTCCCCTCCCAGCCATTCAGAAATTTCCCAAACTCCTAGTGACCCACAGAAATTCTAGAGTCAGTTAGGTACAGTACAGTCAGTCACCTTTATTCCAGGGTTAGAACAAGGCCGTGCATGCTGCAGACAGAGGAGCACAGGCTAGGGGCGACCAGCAGCACGAGGGTAGCAGGGTAGATCAGTCTATTCGGGCAGGTTAGTCTTTTTAAGGTTTGTGGGTTTTGTTTTGTTTTTTGCCTTATAGAGAAACTGCTGAAAAGCACCCTCTCTTCTCTTTTTTTTTCTTCCATAAAGTAAACGCCATCTCATTCTTGCTCTCATACAATCCAGATGGAAGGATGGTTTATGCTTATTTCCTTTCTCCCAGTTGTACAAGTATCTCTTCTTTTTTAAAGGAGAAGCCAGGCAAGACTAGGGAGACTTAGGAAGGACCTTTAAGGCAAAACTGGAGGTGTGTGTTAAGGCAGGTGTCTGCAGCAGTGGCCAGAGGAGATGGGCAGACTAGGCTTGGCTAGGAGTTGAGGGTGCTCTAGCCAGTCTGGCTTCTCTCTTCGGACAGCCCATCCTCCCCTCCCTGTGAAGTTTTGCTCCCACATCCTAAAAGCTCCTACCTTCAACTTTCTCTGAGCTTGCATGTAAATTTAATGTTTGTTGTGGTTGGTTTAAATGCTTTCTTTTCTGTTTGGACTATTTAACAATTTGGCTCTGCCACTCCCTTTACTGTGGCATTCCCCTCCCACTCCGGCTCTGGCCTAGACAATAAGTTAATGCTAAAAACCACAAAAAAAAAAAAAAAAAAAAAGGGCAGACATGGCAGTGCGGGTTTAATATACATATATGTAGAATATATATGTACACACAGTTAGCACGGTCAAGATGGGGAAGGGCATCTTGGGACAGGTAGGAGGCTGGGTTCACTCACTGTACTCTAGTGACTTGGCTGTGAGGCATTCACAAGCCAAATGAGAAAGGTCACCAAGTCCCTTCCTGGATTGAGTTGGGGTGGTAGTCAGTGCAAAGGAAACAACTGTAGTTAACCCTTTCTTGCTTGGGGAATTCTAAACTGGAGAGTGGGAAGGTTGTCTACAATATCCACATTGGGACCCTGAAGGAGTGGGCAGGTTGGGGTTTAAAACCTAAAGGGATTGCATTCCCCAGTCTCCCTACGCTCAGGGTCAGTGTATTCCAACAGTCTGTATCTAGGAACAGAGAAGTAGAAAGGGAGCCTGTCTCTGCCTGCATTCCTGTCTCAGGCTCAGTAGTGCATGGTCCCAGCATAGTCTCCAGAGCAGAAGTTGGGGGCATCAAATACTGACTTCTCTTCTCCATGGGGTTAGATCTTTGGGGCCAGGAAAGGATCTAGTGGTCTTCTCATTAAGATTTCTGGCTCAAACCCATCCCAGGCCCATGGCAAGGGCATAAAGGAGGGACCAACTGGCACTTGGGACTTCAGCCTAAGGAATAGTAGGAAACTGGATTCTAGCCAGTCCAGCCTAATACAAATACTGAATTCTGGCCTTTCTTCGTCCCTTCCAAGTGGAGGTTGAGTAGCCTCTTTACCTTCCCCCACTGCTTTTCTTTAGATCTAACCATCTCTCCCATACCTCATCTTTACCTTAGCTCCTCAGTGTAGGAAAATGCAGGTCCTTTCTGCTTCCATACCTTAAAGATGTGGGGGAAGAGTGGAGGAAAGGGGAGGAGGAGGAATGTGCCAATTTCTGTTTTCATAGAAATAGCTTCTACCTCCCCCTATAGTGGGGAAATTAAGTTCCCCCTCCCCTGACTGCAATCCCCTCATGAGGAGGAGGAACTAGATGAGCTAGACAGACAGACAGCCAGAGCGTGCGCACACGCGCACACACACGCGCATAGTAAAGGGGTTAGGACCAAGTTAGTAAGTGGGTACAGGGCAGGGGGTTGCCCTAGCCCCTCCCATTGAGGATGGGGAAGGGAGTGGTCTGATGAAGATCCAACCTTCCTCCTCTTCCTCCCCATTGCTCAGGCCTTCTTTGGTGGGGGAGCCAACTTGATGATTTCTTCCTCAGAGGGCTGCCGGATAATGTCTGGGAAAACAAAGGGTAGGGGGGAGTCCAGGAATGGAAGTTGCCCAGCTGGCCCATTGAACACCAACCTCGACTCCCCAAATTCAGGGTGACTCCTCTAAAAATACAGTCAGAGGGGAAAGGCAGGGGAATAGCTGTGCCGAAGGTATGGCCTTTTACCTTTGTACTTCTTGGCACTGGGAATGCGAGTTAGCTTGGTGTCCAGCTCATCTTCCTCAGAGATCTTAAGTACACGGGTTCTGTAGTCAACCACCATAGTGAGTAGGTCAGGACGGCGGGATATCTCAAAGATGTGCTCAATGTAGGAGAGGTTGTCTGGAGGAAAGCAGCTTGAGTCAGAGCTAGGCTATAGAGGTCAACTTCTACCCTGTCAAATTGGTATTCTTGAACCAAGACTGAGTTGCTTGCTCTGGTTATTAGAGGGAACAAGCACAGTGAGAGGAGGACTACAAAGCCAGCAGAAGAAAGTTCGAAGCAGCCAGATAGTTCAGAAGGCTAATCCTAGGAACCACAGGTGTTTAGTCAATTAAATTCTGTACAGTATAAATGGAAAAAAAGGACTTTGGGCTAGATATCAAGTCCGTCTTGGGGTAAGAAGGGACAATAGAAAAGCTGCTTTCAAAATTAACCCACTCAGCTTGTCCTTTTTTCACTTTCTGCCAAATGAGTATTCGACACCACATGTGGAACAGGAAGGTGAGATTTAGAGGCAAAGAGGATCTGAGCCTAGTAACTTAGGGCTGGAGAGATGGCTTAGTGGTTATGAGCACTCTCTGCTCTTCCAAAGGTCCTGAGTTCCAATCCCAGCAACCATGTGGTGGCTCATAACTATGATAAGATCTAGTGCCCTCTTCTGGTATGTGGACATACATATAGGCAGAACACTGTATAAATAAAAACATATTTTTTTAAAAAAAGTTACTTAAGTGAAAAGAAAGCATCGACACAATCGGGATGGCTTGAGAAGATTATACATGCCATCAGATCATCTGGCTCCTGTCCTCTGATTGTTGCAATAGTCTTAATAGGTCCTCCTTCACCTTTCCTCCCTACTATCATATACTCTTAGCTAGAAGAGGACACACCTATAACACAGCTACGTCTAATCAGACCCAATATTTTTAGTCCAGCTGTGTTCCTTAACAGGCACTCTGGGTCCCACCCTGGAAATCCCACTTGCTTTTGTGGGCAGTCTATTACATTATCTTGAGTGTATGAGTGTGTGTGTGTGTTACAGAGGTCAGGATTGCTTTGGGGAGTTGGCTCTCCCCTCTCACTGACGGCCCTGCATGGCAAGTACTTCTGCCTGCTACCCTGCCAGCACTTGGGACCGTCTTACATACCAGCTTACCCTGCCAGTCCCAGCTGCATGTCACTGCTCTAATCCAGTGTCCCCCTCCCACCTCTAAAAAGCAGCAGTCTCTAAAAGTAGGTAAGAAAATGTTAGGACAGTGGTTTCAAATTTACCACTGTTAAATTCTGTTTTCATGTGCCATCATATAGTGATGGCACAGGAGTACTGAAAAAGCACTTTGTACTGACATGGGCCATTGAAGAAACATGTCTATTGACTACTGTCCTAGAACCCTGGACACTCTCGGAGCATGTCCACCCCTCCTTGTCATAGGGTTTCACTTTGTGTAAGGGGCTTGTGTTCCTTTCTGTTTGCTGAGTGAGCAGAGCCCTCTCCACCACCTTTGTCCAGCTTGTTGTGGCTCTCCAGGAAGCTAAACCAGGCACTGCCTGTAGTGATCTCCTCACTCTTCTCGCTGGGGATGTCCTCCTTGCAGGCTGACTTGAGCTGTTCCAGATCTTCAAGGGTGATGTTGTTGGTCAGGTCCTGAAGGAGAGTCCCGTACTCTGCCATGACTGGGGATGAAGACGGTAAAGGGAGAGGTAGCTGAGCTTGCTGTATGGGGTCTAGTTCACTATCTGCCAGTACTTCTCTGTGCCCCCCAGCAACATGCACATGTGCACACACACTTTGTCCTGCCAGGGTGGTATGTACCTCAAGTGTGCAAGTTTAGGAGAGTGAGCAGGTCTGGAGGAAGAAAAGGAAAACCCTGCATAGACAGGAAGAAACTTAGAAGCTAGGGGCCAGCATGGAGCCCAGAATGACAAGTCATAACACACACACACACACACACACACACACACACCCCAGTACACACACAATCTTTTTCTTCTTTTCCCTCCATTAGCAGTAACCCTGGAAACGGTTCCCCTGACTGAGGAGGTGGTTACCATGGCAACATTCTCCAGACTCTCCTGCAGTCTCCAAGTGCCCCTCCCCAATTGCCCCACCTACCTACGACTCCTCCCCCTGTCACAGGCTTGCCTAGCAGTGAGAAACTAAAAAGGAGTTAGTTGAAGCCCATGTGTTCTAGCTTCCATTCTTCCCCAGAAGCAAAGGGGTCCCTCATTTCATCTTCCCACCACCCCACTGATGACTCATTTTGGATGGCTGCCTAGTTACTTGGCCTGATGGATCCCTGGCCCCTCCATTCTTAACCCTGCATTAGATTATTAGTCTTAGGATAGCAGGGAGCAATGGGCCACCCCCACCTTTGTGGAGCCCATTTTCTCCCTTGATAGTTTACTGGGCCCCAACTCAGCCTTCTCTCCTAGCCTTTGTGCTGTGCCTGCAGCCCCCGCGCCCAAGAATACCAAG